GCTGCGTATTAAGAGAGTGTGGCTGAGGCTCGGCGTTGGAGACTTGTCCTGTTGGCTGATGGCCTGTTCTGTGGGTGGTGAAGTGCTGCTCTGCTATGTCTTGGGTACGTCCAAGTTGTGTAGAAGGGCTTCAAATGCTGCAGGAGTTAGTCAGGCTCCTTCTGCAGACCACCTATCCCTGGGCCAGGTCTGCCCATTGCCCAACACGACATTTAGCAACAGGCAAGTGAGAAAAGTGAAAAGTGAACATATTTACAACAGGTAACCAACAGTTAATGCTTCAGTGGGTAGGAGAGAGCTGTGCTTCCAGCCACCAGCATTTCAGGTAGATTCAAACAGATTCTCTCTCCATTTCAAGTTAAAATCTGGAATAGTTTCAGCAGTCCATCATGATTTAGGAAGACCCTTGTCCTCGACCCTGCTTCCAAGGGGATCTCTGTAGGCTGTAGGCCTTGCTCTGCAAGGACTGAATACAACTCATAAATCCACTCCTTAAACCAGAAGTCAGGTTTCAAGCTGGCTCCTGAGGTGTTACTGGTTGCCTTTGTTCAACTTCAGACTCCCCGAGCAGAACTGCATCCTGTAAATAGAACTCAGCAGTGATTAGTCTCATGCTTAGCTATGAACAAATGCTTCTCTGTGTCAAGGGAGAGGTTTCATTTTGCCCTTGTGATCACATTTAAACATCAGGGAAGGCTTCCTTTCTGTGGAGACTGTATTCTACAAAATTCACTGTCACAGTAGGAGCGAGCAGTGAAAGATTTGGGTAAGACAACATAATAACACAGCAACAGGATTCGAAGAAAGCCTTGTGAAGGGTCTTTACAGGCTAGGTGGGCATGAAATTAGGTTTGAGGCAGAAGCTCTTCCTGTGAGGGTGCTGAGGCGCTGGCACAGGGTGCCCAGAGAAGCTGTGGCTGCCCCATCCCTGGCCGTGTTCAAGGCCAGGTTGGACGCAGGGGCTTGGAGCAAGCTGCTCCAGTGGAAGGGGTCCCTGCCCGTGGCAGGGGCTGGAGCTGGAGGAGCTTGAAGATCCTTTCAACACAAACCATTCCATGGTTCTGGTGTTCTATGACTTGAACTGGTGGATGGAGTTTCAGAAGACAGAAGAGGAGGTGATACTGTACACGGGGCTGGTGGAATACAGAGCTCAGTGCTCAGGTTATTGGGAGTGCAAGAAAGCTGCCTGGGCTCCCAGAGCAGTGCCGTGGGGGTGAAGGAAGAACATCTGCCAAGGGTTAAGCACCAGTGTGACTGAGGCAGCTCTGGATCAGTAGGCTCTGGGAGCCTCTGTATCCTTGGGCTCTGTACGCTTCCTCATGGGATTACTACTGGCCGCTGCAGGCAGCACATGGGACTGGATGTGCCTTTGATCTGCTGTACTGGAGGGGAGGTGGGGAGTGCAGTATGGAGGCAGTCTCAGCTGATGAGCAAGCTGCATGGAAGGAAGGAGAGGCACGTGAGTAAAGGGGTGTAGTTGTTTATGCAGGGCTCAGATGCAAGCATGCAGATAGGGTGAGCAAAGGAGCTGTGTCAGTGGTGAGCTGCAGGTAGTGGAGAAAGACTGCCAAGAATTTGCTTTCCTCCCCCTCTCCTCAGGAGAGATCTCTGATGGGGAGGAGCAATGGGAGACATTCGTTGTCATGGGAAACAGACACTATTCCTGCTGCTCCAAGGAGTGGGGTTGTAGAGACGGTCAGCTTGGGAACCAGAACTGTAGTGAAGCCTCCGTTCTTCTGTCATAGGATCAAAATTCAGGTTGCAAGGAGAAGGTCTCTAGTCCAACCTCCATCTCAAAGCAGGGTCAGCTGTGCCATCAGTTGATGTTGCTCAGGGGTTTATCCATTCTGGTCTTGAAAACCTCTGAGGATGGAGCCTACCCGCCCTCTCTGGGCAGCCTGTTCCACTGCAGGAATCATCATCACATTTCTCCTCTGACTAGTCAGAACCCTTGTCAGTTTTGCCCGTTGCCTCCTCTCCCCCAGCCATGGCCTCTTGTCCTCCACTCTGAAAAGCCTGGCTTTATCTTCTTTGTAGCCTCCCATAGGTACCAGAAGGCTGGTATTAAGTTCCCTCCAAAGCCATTCCTTCTGCAGGCTGGACAAGCCCAGCTCCCTCAGCCTCTCCAGACAGAGCAAGCTGTGACTGTCTTGGTAGCTCTCCACTGAACTCCCTTGAGTCTGTGGATGTGTTTCTTGTGTTGGGGGCCCGAAAACTGGATGCAGCATTGTAGTGTGGTGTCATGGGAGGGCAGGTAGGGGTAACCTCTTTGCTCTGTTGCTTTTGCTCCTGTTCATGCAGCCCTGGGCACTATTGGCTCTGCTGCTGAGGCGCTGGGTAACCAGCCTACCAGCCCCGCAGGTTCTCACCCGCAGAGCTGCTGCCCAGGCACCAGTCCACAGCCTCCTGCACAGGGAACTTCCTCCTCAGCTGCGGGACTCTGTGTCTGTCCTTGTGGGAATTCATGGAGATCCTGCTGGCCCGTTCCTGTCACGGTCCTTTTGTGATCTCCAGCTGGTCACTGATAGTGCTTCAGATCCTGTTTTCCGTAGTGCTCCCCTCCTCATTTAAGAAAAAAATGGAGGAGAAACACAGCACAGAAAAATAACAAGTGGAGAATAGCGCAACTAAAGCAGAGCTTGCAGAAGCAGGTACCTAAAATAAAACAAAAACTAATACCCACATCTTCAATACATTCAGATTCTCTGCCCCCTTCCCCTTCCTTCACTGGCAGTTCTTCGCCTTTGGTGCTTTATAAGAACTTTACACAGAAGGTAGAACAGGGGCTACCAATCCATCAACTCTTCAGTCAACAGCTGAGAACTTGGAGCAGCAGCATCTGCTGGTAGTTGGTGTCTTCTCTGGTCTGGGAGGTGTTGGCCAGGCCACTCTTTGCAGATCACAAGACGGTGCAGCAGCTTTCTGGTTTTCATTTCCTGTAGTCAGCACAGTGGTGCCAATCCACAGGACGGTCAGCACATCCCTGCAACAAGCTCCAGTGGCACTAGACCATGTTCTGGAACAGGCTGCGCATGGTAACAGAGCTCAGTACTGAATAAATCTCCTTGGTTTAACTCCTGCCCATTTCCGTGTGAGAAGCAGAAATAAGCACGAAGGGATGTGGGTGTTTTTTTGGATCTTCATGCTGTTGAGAACATGATGATGTCTGATCTGAATCAGCCGCTGCTCCACCTAGTGCAGAAACCTGTCGTAAGCGTTGCTCTTAAGCAGATGCCCAGGGAAGAGTGAAAACACAGCAAGGATATGATGTTTCTCCAGAATACTCACTCAGGCATCTACTGACTTCAGTTCACAGGTTTCTGTGCACATAATAGCCCACAAAAAGTGCATCCTCCAACACTTTGTCCAGTGACTCTATGAACTCGTTTCATGTCTCTACTTCATTCTGTTGCCTTGGCATTAAAAATCCCCAAATGGTGCTCAGCAAAAACAGCCCATTTTTGCTCTTTGAGCACAGCAATGGTCTGAGCAATGTGGTGAGATGTAAAGGTTGCTGGTCACTGGCCAAAATATTCCTTTTATCCCCTGCAAACTCTACATCTGCAGGCATTGGGTGAAATTGCTCACGTAAGACAGGGCACAGTTGCCAAAGCACTTTGAGTGCTAGGGAATGTTACAGAAAAAGCACTAGAGCCAAAAAAGCAGGTGGTCACGGTGCTGCTGTGCTGAAACATGGCCCTCTGCCAGCTCCAGCATTCTCTGAAGAGCAAAAACCTTGAAAACAGCTGAGCTGAGACTGAAAAGAAGGAGCTGTAGCAAGTGGGTGATGAGCACAGCAGGGTCTGGTGTGGAGGGCAGGGTCTGGAGCAAGCTGGGCTGATCCGCTAGTGTCCAGGCAAGTACCTGCCCCGTACTTACTGTGGTAATGGATTTTTTCTCCTATTACTTTCCTTAGCAAGATTCTCATACTCTTTGCCCAATTATTACAAGTACCTTGTAAAGGAGTATGTCCTTGTAAAGAGTATGTCCTTGTAAGGACAAGATAATTACAAGTATCTGCAGAAGAGAAGGCTCCTTAAGGGGAGACCTTAGAGCAGCTCCAGTGCCTAAAGGGGCTGCAGGAAACCCGGAGAGGGGCTTGGGACAAGGGCCTGTAGGGACAGGCCAAGGGGAATGGCTTGAACCTGCCAGAGGGGAGACTGAGATGAGCTCTTAGGCAGAAGCTCTTCCCTGTGAGGGTGCTGAGGCGCTGGCACAGGGTGCCCAGAGAAGCTGTGGCTGCCCCATCCCTGGCAGTGTTCAAGGCCAGGTTGGACACAGGGGCTTGCAGCAAGCTGCTCCAGTGGAGGGGTCCCTGCCCATGGCAGGGGTTGGAACTGGAGGAGCTTTAAGGTCTCTTCAACCCAAACCAGTCTGGGATTCTATGATACCTGAAAAAGCTCTCATGGTGCACCCAGGTAGTAAGTTATTAGTAAGAATGACAGAATCTGCCTTCCTTGAGTACTTCCAGTTCTTGAAGTACATAACTTAAGTTTCTGGTAGACCCTGCTTCAGAATTCAGTCTCGCACATAGAACCGTATGTAACTCGTTGTGGGGAAGGGGGACGTGTGACACGAGAACGGATGCTGGGATGTGTCACCGTTGGCTCCAAGTTGCACAACCTGCTTGCAGTCGGCTGTCTCACGCGTTGACAGTTGGGTGTTGGGAGGTTTGATGGAGCAAGTGTTCAATTCTATCTGTTGGGTTGGTCTGAGAGCATGCAGCCTGCCTGGAGAATGTTGGGCACAACTATCTGGATCTAAACCAGTACAAGGCGTTGTAAGAGTGTGGCTGCCCTCTGTGCCAAGTGAATATGAGCAAAGGGCCAGAATGCAACCGCATGCACCAGGAGCACGAACGATGAAGTGAAAAGTCACCTCAGCATGAAGGGGTTTATAAGGGGGGGAGAGAAAGGGATATCACATCCCGTTTATGGTGACTGACACAACCTAGTCTGTCTGAAGACATCCTGTCTGACTTCACTCTTCTTGTTTTCCAGGTGAAGACGAGAAACTTGCTGCTTCCTTGCTAGATGGGAAGTTTCCCCGGAGCACATCGATGCAAGACACTGTTAGGGAAGGACATGGGATTCCACCACCACCTCAAACAGCCCCACCTCCACCTCCTTCTCCATATTACTTCGACACAGGCCCCCCTCCATCCTTCTCACCACCTCCACCCCCAGGAAGAGCTTATGATACCATAAGATCAAGCTTTAAGCCAAGCCTGGAGGCCAAACTCCATGGACTCCCTCAAGTCCTTAGCGCAGCTGAGATGTATGATCAGGCAAGGACTTCCATTCCTTACCCTGAAAGGCAAAAGAGGGCCCGATCCATGATAATCCTACAGGATTCCTCTCATCTTCCCGTGGAGCCAACAGAGATCCCCCGCCCTGGCCCATCTGCGACTCCTCCAGAGAAGCTGAAGAGGAAAGGAAGAGTGATTGACAACCCTTATGCCAACATGGGTCAGTTCAACGTCAGCCTTTTCGCTCCCACCAAGCCACAGAGGAAGAAGAGCCCTCTGGTTAAGCAGTTACAAGTGGAGGATGCACAGGAGAGAGCAGCACTGGCCATCACTGGAGGCTTTTCAAGGGAGCCCTCTCCCACCCGCAGGAGCCATCGCCTGAGTGGTGTTGAATATCAGCACCATGCTGGCATTGCTCAAGTTGAAGCCACAGGCATCCCCTTCGCCACTGCCATCGCTGGAGTCATGAAGGACAGAGACCGTCGTCTGGATGAGAGGCGGAAATCCACTGTCTTCCTCTCTGTTGGGGCTATCGAGGGCAGCCCCCCCACCAGTGACATGCCATCCTTGCAGCAGTCCAGGTCTATTGATGAGCGGTTGTTAGGAAGCCGAGATGTTCTACTGCCTTCCCCTGTCTCAGCTTTAAAGCCATTGATCAGCAGCTCATCCTCTACGTTCATCCACCCCCTCACAGGAAAGCCCTTGGATCCAAACTCGCCTCTGGCACTTGCGCTGGCCGCAAGGGAACGGGCCCTCTCAACTCAAGTCCCATCCCGGTCGCCCACCCCAATCCACAGCCCAGACTCAGACCGAGCAGCACCCCTCTTTGTGGACATCCAAACCAAAGAACCAGAGCGCGGGGAGTTGGAGAGCTTGGTGTCCCCTGCGTACTCTCCTGGAGGCAAAGGGGTGATCGGAACAGACTCTGGGACTTTGGCCCCTGCAAAGAGCCCATGGGGGACTCCATCCACACTGCGGAAAGAAACGGAGGCCCGAGCAGAAACCCCAGGGAAGGACGAGAAGAAACAAGAAGACAAGAAGTCCATGATTATTAGCATAGTGGATACATCACAGCAGAAGACCGCTGGCCTCATCATGGTTCATGCCACAAGTAACGGCCAAGATGAGATAGGACTTGAGATAAAAGAGGAGACACCAGCTGTCCCTGAAGCATGCACAGAGCCAGCAGAGTCCCCCAAAGCAGAGACACAGCCCAGCCCCATGGGAAAGCCTCCAGTGAGTCCAGCCTCTGACAAGACGTTGGGACAAGGGAGTTCGGAGGAAGAAGTGGAGCCCTACACGGTCACCCTCCCACCAGCTCAGCTATCTTCAAGCGACGAAGAGACCAGGGAGGAGCTGGCCAAGATAGGGCTGGTACCTCCACCAGATGAGTTTGCGAATGGGGTACTGGTCACCACCCCTGGCACACCAGTCAGCCACCTGGCTACGCCCAGCACGCCATCCATACCAGCGGCAGCAGTAGCACCTTCTACCACTGGCGGAACACCCTCAGGGAAGCCCTCTGATGCCCCCGTAGCCCCAGAGTCTGCTGCAGACTCGGGAGTGGAAGAGGTGGACACCAGAAGTTCAAGTGACCATCATCTGGAGACCACAAGCACCATCTCTACGGTCTCCAGCATGTCAACATTGTCCTCAGAGAGCGGGGAGCCTACTGACACATACACTTCCTTTGCGGATGGACAAACTTTTATACTCGAGAAGCCACCAGTGCCTCCAAAGCCAAAACTCAAGTCCCAGCTCAGCAAGGGGCCAGTTACTTTCAGGGACCCACTTTTGAAGCAGTCTTCGGACAGCGAGCTCATCTCCCAGCAACATGCGGCCACTCTGGCATCAGCCAGCATTGGCCGGCCACGCTACCTCTTTCAGAGAAGGTCCAAGCTATGGGGGGACCCCATGGAGAGCAGGCCAATCCATGGGGCTGATGATGACAAGCCAACTGTGATCAGTGAGCTAAGTTCCCGACTACAGCAACTGAACAAGGATACACGATCACTGGGGGAGGAACCAGCCGGGTCCACGTTAGATCCCGGGAAGAAGTCACCGGTGGTCGCGGCACGGTAAGGCACTGGTCACTGGCCGGGAGTGGGTGGGTGCAGGGTTTAGGCTCCTAGGGACAGGGAGGTGTGTATGCGGAGCTTGACTGTGCCGAGTAACCCAGGGTGGTCTCGAAGGGCATTTCAGAGATGTGAGGGGAGAGGCAATGCTGGGACATGCCTCTCAGAAGTTGGTGTCACTTGTTCATGGCTCCTCTCTATGCACCGCACATGTAGCGAGCTCACGCTGTTGCTTTTCCCCTTTGAATTCCCTTCCTGTTGTGTCATGTCCCTTGTCTTGATGCTGCTGTTTAGCTGCTGTATTTACTTGTGGGTTTCACTTCCACATGTTTGCTCCTGACCAGCTGATAACGATGTGTGGTTCTGCAGTGCTTTTTCATTCCAGAGGGTCTCCAAATGTTGTCAGGCTGTGCCTTAGAGCTCTGGTCAGTCTCTGCTCAGTGGGATCACCATGAGGGTGGTCTGTGACAGCCCTCAGGCTGCACTCCACAGCACCCGCCCTCCTTTGCCCTGTATCCTGGCACGAGCCGCCTCTGGTGACCACAGTGAGGTGTTCTGGTGGGGGTTACCTGCAGGGGTGCAGCCCATGTCCTGCTGGCCTCAGCAGTGGGTCACACATGACTCTAGGCTGGTGGCCACTGGGACAACTGCTGGCTCAGAGGTGTCTGCACAGCACCAAAGTGTGGTAGATCCTCTCACTCCCTGTTGTTCTCCTGCACAGAGCCCAGACAGCCCAGGAGATCTGGAGGGTCGCAGCAAAAGGACCACAGGACATGCAGGAGACTCTTTCTCTTACAAAGCCCTGCCTGGGTTCCCTCATCTCACAGAACTGAGGTTGCCTCTCAGAACTGTGGCCATCACACTCCTCGAGCAGCTCGGACCTCCCCATGCCCCTCACGCTGCCCTGTTGTCCCCAGTGGAGGTCACCCACTGCCTTGGTCCCTGCTTTGCCCCATGCTCTCACCCTGACTCGCCCACCAAATTAAACCAGAAAGACTCTGTATTAGAGCCTGAGATTTGAGAGCAAACCCTCACAGGGCTTTGCAACTCAGTCACATCAGGCAGTGAGTGACCCAGAATCTCCAGCCTTGCCACAGCGATGTGGCTGCGGTAAGCAGGTCCCACTGGTGTCACAGTGAGTTGGGGCAGGGAGCCCTGAGCTCAAGGGAGCCCTTCCTTTGGGAGCCCATCCCCATGATAGGTTACAAGTCCACGTGGTGCTAGCTCAGCTGGTGACATTTCATGCTGTAGCATGGGGGACAGAGTGTCCATAATGACATCCCCAGGGGAGCATCCCTGTAGCTCCAGCCTTTAGCAGCTCACGTCTCCATGCCAGTGTTGGCAGTGACAGCCCGGCCTCACCAGTGATCCACCTCTCAGCAGGTACCAAACCTGTGGTTATCACCAGTGTGGAACAAAACCCATGGATCTTGCTCTCCTACACAGTTTTATCTCTCAGGACTCAGCCCCATGATGCAGGTTAAGGCCATTCCCTGGGGCTAGTGTCTCACATGAGGTCCCTCCCTGCACTGCTCAGTGGGGAACCACATGGGTGCATGTAGTTTAACAGCATTTGGGGACCCTTTTGAGATCCAGCATGCCAGCCCTTGTCCTAAAAAGTGCTGACTGTGCACATCTGCTGTCACCCAGAGAACTTGGACATTGCCAGCTTTTCATGGCAATTGGTGACAGCATCTCAAAGAGCTTCCCCACGCCAGGCAACAGCCCTTTACAATGCCTGTTCTGGGCCTGGCTGGTGGAGGAGCTGCTGCCTTCGGCCCCTTTGGTGTCCCAGAGCCCACGTGGTTTCAGGCCACGGCCCCGCAGCCTTCCTCGCTCCTGCCCTGGCCTCCACATTACCCTGTGCCCCCTGCAGAGATGTGCAGGTATGCTCCATTCCTAGGAGACACCCTCCTCCATCCTCTGCCTCTCTCTAACCCCCTCCTGTCCTTCGTTGCTACTCCCTTCAGTTCCTGCACTTCCCACAGGCCGTGTCCTTCCCTTGCCCTATCTCCCTGGAGCAGACTCTGCCCAGGTTCCTGCTCCATGACATGCTGTTGCTGCATTTGCTCTCACGAGAGACCCCGTGCCCTGCCGCAGCCTCCTCCTCACCTGCTGCCACCCAGTGGCACTTCCCGCTGTCCCACAGAGTCAAACGCTCCTGTTCCCTTGTCTGAAAGTCATTTCATCTCTGAAACCTTTATGCTCCCAGCTGATGTCAAAGACTTGAAATATTTCCCAGGAAGTCAGCTCTAAATAGAGTATCCAGTGATGTCAGCCACCCGCCTTCATTGTGAAAATGCTTCTTTTATGGAATTGCTGTAATTCAGAAAATAATGTAAGGAGTGGTTAGATAAGCTTCAGTGACCCATTTCAGGACACACTGTTCTGTCCCTGGGCCTGTCCGGAGAACACCAGGGTTACCTCAGCCTCCCACAACAGCCCCATAGGCAGCCTCCTACACAGACCCCACACTGCTGCGGAGCAGGGAGGGATGTGCCCATGGGCATCCATTGCTCAGGGGCTGGAGGCACTGACCCCCACATGATGCTGCGGTGTTTTCTGTCATTCTTACATTTAGCTCAGCTCCAGAAGGGATCAGGAGCCAGGCTGAAGCTCTTCCCTAGAGCCAGAGGTGTCCTGAAGTGCCGCCCGGACAGTGAGGTGCCCTTGCAGGTAGCCCTGCAGCAGCCACAGGAGCAGGCGCAGGGTTTGTTGCTGATTTTATTTCCTCACCACATTAACTTCTGAATTCACAGTAGTTTTATCCAATAGCAGATGACTTCTCCATGCATGTGGGGCTGTAGAGCAGGCCCTGGCATGTTTCTCTTGCAGGGGCCTGTGAGGGTCCTGGCTGGGGACCCCTGGAGCAGGAGACACAAACCACTTCCTCTGTAACTGTGACTGTCTCTGTCTCCTTCCAAGACAGTCTTCCACAGGAGGACGTTTGACAAGAGTGACTGAGAAAGAGGCCAGGAGATACTGAGAAAGAGACCTTAAGGGCAGAGCTAAGGCAATTATTAGAGACAAGATTTATTCCCCCTCTGGGTGCTGTGTGACCGGCCGGGGCTAAACATGGCAAGGGAAGCTCTGATAGGCCCATGTGCACTCAGAGGAGGGCTCTACTCCCCAAGCAGCATGTGCCTGCTTGCTGAGATGCAGCTTCCTGCACGGGTGACAGCAGAGCAGATGGACAGCCTCCATTCTTCCTGTGCTTTGGGAATAAGCAATGAACTGGGGACACAGGAACTTTGCTCCCTGACTTAGTGTGTCTCTGAAGGCGGATGTGAAGCTGGCAGCAGCTCTCCATGTTTAACATGAACAGGATCCTTGAAGATCCGGTGCCCTGGCTAAGCTGAGCACCGGGCATCTTGGTGTGTCCCTGATCTGAAGCTCCTGGCCAGCCCCGGACACAGCTCCTGCAGCAGCAGATGCCCAGAGCAGTGGCTGCACTGAGCAACGACCCCGCAGCTCAGACCTGCTACCAGCGCTGCAGTGGCCTCGTTGTGTCACATCTATCACCACAATAAAGCTGACGCTGTGGAACAGAGGTGTGCGTGTCTGACCAACGACCCCCAGTCACAGCCCAAGAGCTGTGATGGCACCAGAGCCCGATCCTGGGGTGACTCACGCGTTCCATGTGTGTTGAGGTGGTTCTTGTTGAGTGTCCCCTTGTCCTGTGACCCGCCATGGCCATCCATGCACATCAGGCTTGAGTCATTCCTCACTGTGCATAGTCACACTCAGACCCCAGCTCCCACCTCACTGATGGGGCAGGAGCCATGCACTGGGCAGCCCTCGGAGGTGAGCACGAGCTTGTGTTGAGCTGAACATGGTGAGCTCACCTTGACTCAAGCCAGAAGCAGCTGAAGTGTCAACACAGATCCGGTTTGGGGCTCCAGCTAATGTAGCCAAGAGCCTGGGTTAGAGAGAGCTTTGCAGAGGGTGTTTGTTTGTTTCTTTGCTTGTTTATCTTTGAGCAACAGCCGAACATGCCAAATGTATCATGTGAAGCAGAATTCTAGATACAGAACTGAGTTTTCGAGGTGCTGTTTTGGAAACCCACCACTGCTTTGTATTTCTACAGATCTGAAAGAGAGAGAGAAGAAAAATAAGCCCCTTAGGCTTTTAGCTCCTAGGGTAAAGCTTCCTCTTTCTATATAAACTCATCAATTAATTCTGTTTCAGTTAAATGGTGTAACATTTCTGGTGCAAGCTTTCAGCCACTGCACTTACAACCCCCTGTTTCCTTGTAGGCTTTTGATCACTTCACGGTGTCTTAAACCCCTGCACAAAGCAGAGCTGAGATTTATTTCCACACTCAAGGGGATTGTCCACGGAGAGCTGATGAGATTGGCATCTTGGTACCTTCCCTAGAGGGAGTTTGGGGCTTATGGGAAGTTATTTGCACTGCACTGAGGTGTGAAGAGGGGGTGGCCTCCCAGCTGAGTCCTAGGCAACAGTCCCAGTCTTGGGAAGCGCTTGGCAGGCGACAGCCCCGTCCTTTGGTGACATGAAGCAGGACATCCCTGCAGCCCTGTCTGAACTGTTGCTGCTGACACCACAACGGCTCTGGGTCCCACTGTCCTGTGAGTCCCGAGCTCCTTCAGCACCCCTGCTTTCCCCATGCATCACTGCAGCCACCAAGGAGGGAGGCAAACACACAGTGCCGTGACGGAGCCTTGGCAGGTCTCCAGCCCGCACTCCTGGGGCATCCGGACCTGAAGATGCTTTAATGCATCTCTGTAGGGGACTAAAAATGCTTCCTTCGCTCCATGGATCCCTTTCCATCCCGCGGGAGGAGGCTTCTGCTCATGGGAGTGCACTGCAGTGGGACCACCAGCATTGCAGTGAGGCCACTGGCACTGCAGTAGGGCCACCAGATACTGTAGCGGGGCTACTAGGTACTGCAGCAGGGGGTTCTGGGTGGTCTGGGGGGGGGCCACACATTCTGCTGGTGCAGTGTGCCATGCAGTGCCGTGCTGGGGGATGCTCTTGTCTCA